AGAAACACAGTGCATCTGAAATTTCATTTCACCAAATTGAAATACACCTATCCCCCGATTTACACAGTTTCACTTTTACACGGTTTCAATATGAGGAGGTCTATAAAGATTTGATCAAAAACCAAGCACAATTGTTAATTACATTACCAAGGCTCGCCGATCTGAAATTGTTTCTAATTCATCTAACATTCGAACTTGAATCGTATCAAGTACTATCGAGTGATGAAAGTGACATCATACCAACCAGGAATAAAAGATTAATAGTCGACGAAAGTGATAACAGTAATTAAATTTTTTAATTTATACCTCTTGTTTCTATACGTAAAATGAATTACATACATATACCTTTATATTTTTATCATTTTACGAATAGACCGTTATTTTTATGTTTTTTAAGATATATTTAGTTTTATTTTACGTTGAAATAAATGACTAAATTATGCACATTTTAGTTTGTTTTCGATTTACACGGTATTCTGAGGAACCGATCATATCCGTGTAAATCGGGGGACAGGTGTATGTGAGTGAGAGAATAATTTAGAGAGAATAGAATTTCGAAAATTAAACAATTCTCTCGCGCCTCTAAAATAATGTAATATCAAATCCAACCGTTCGGAGAACTTCTTTATCGGTTGAGAAGGATCCACGGGAGAAATCGTAAATCTTGTTTCCCGCAACTCTCGATCAGAGCTCGCTGCGTACACGTGCTTACCATGCATTGAACTTTCCAAAATTTCATCGTTGCAACTGAGCAGTTAAGATCAGATTAGCGTTGCTTCGTTACTATATTCAACGGAATGCAAATTTTACAGAGCGTAGGGTGTTAATTTTGCGTTTCACTAAATGAACAGGAAGTCACGTGTTGCATAATATTATTTCACTTGCAATTTTTTACTTTGAATACACATCTGATTAATAAATTTCAATACTATCACCTTCTCGAATGTTACTTTTATATTTCAATTTTTTTGCCACCTTATAAATCTCTGAACTTCAAACTTTTACTATCCAATTTTCAGTATTTTACTTTCTTTTTGCATTTCAATTTTTGCGTAGGAAAGGTCACGTTTTCACAATTAATTTTCTGCCAGAGAGCATTTTAAGAATTCTTGGTTATGTTAATGTGGTTTGAACTTTTATTGAAATTATTTTTATTCCACGACCTACTTATTTGGTAGCTTCCAGTTATATAATCCAATTATATAATTGTGAAGGTTCTTAGGTTTTTGGACATCCGAAACCGATCGTTTTATGAGTCAGAATTTTTACGTAATCGTTGAGGTAATTTTTGCGTAATTGTTTTCTGGTATTCAGTAAGTAGGAAGTTCGAATGTGTTTCTCTTCGATATTCGGTTTCGATTTTTTCTTTTTTTTTTTTACTTAACTTAAATATACCGTCATTTTTGATAGCCAATAAATGGCACTTTTCGATATTTCACTAAAAGAATATTCTTCTTTACGTCTCAATTTTTATGTTAAATTTACTGTATGGAAATGAACTTTCTTGATGCTTCAAGAAATAAAAGATGTAAATAAATTCCCGATCTACAGAATTTCGAGGATTTGAGGAACAAACTTTCTGTCCCTCTCTGAAATAATATTAAAATTCGTAATTAAATAGTTTTAATAGTAATATCGATAAGGGTTACACTTTGCATATTAATATTAGCGCATTAATAAACTGAAAAGTGTTCAATGCTTCCAAAAAAATTACCAGAAGATTAACTAATTGAGACTATGTTCCTGAGCAATATGTGATCTATAGGATTTCTCGGAATGTTTATGATCCACGCGTGATCATTTCGGCTGCACACGTGTGAAAAAGCACGTAGGATTTTATCCGAAAGGCAGAAAGATCGAGGGGATTTCTTATTAGCTCCACGTGGGATTATGTAACCAGCTGCTAGTGAAATGTACTTTCATTCGTTTGGACGAATCGACGCGATGTGTCCAAGGACGTTTAAAAGGTGCACAGGTTGGCGGGGAATTCGGGTGTTGCATTTCAAAAGAGAAAACTTTTCCCACAAGTATTCGAGTTTGTCGTTTGTTTCAATAAAAATTCGATCGATCGTTAAACGTCGTTTCGTAAACTTTTTTTTCTTTTTTTTTTTTTGCAATATCATATGGAAACCAGTTTTGAAAACTACTTCGATCGATGCTGTCTATAATTATTTTTACTTGTGCACTAATTGAAAATATGTGAAATAATGTCCCTTTTTATTGTGAAGGAAAAGTGTTTGCAAGAATTTTGAAATTCAACTCTGTGAAACTCACTTTTGGTACAATAATTATTTTTTCATGATGCTTTTCAAAATAATAACCAGGGTCCAGGGAAGAATACGATTGAAAGCATACAAAGTATTATCTTGCATTCTGTCATGAAAAGCAACGTATGCATTATTTATTTATGTGAAATGAATTCGTAATTTATTTAGAATTAAAATACAATTTAACAATTCCAGAAATTTCTACCTTTTCCTCTGTAGGTACTATCTTTTTTTTTTAATCTGAAATGAATTCATAATTTATTTACAATTAAAATACAATTTAACAATTCCAGCAGTTTCTCCTTTTTTCTTTAGACTACTTTTTTTTTTTTTTAATGTGAAATGAATTCATCATTCATTTAGGAAAAAAAAGAGAACACAATTTAATTTTTGCCAAAGGGAAGATATCAATGAGTAATTTAAAAAAATATCTTCCAACGCATGACTTCACATCCTCCAAAAAATAGTAAGAGCGATATTTTTCTTTGACATTTGTGCTATCGTGATGTAAATAATTCTAATAAAGCCAAGATATTACACAATGTTTAAAGAAACTCATACATGTCACAGTTGCATTCATTTTATTTACAGCCGTTGGTACAATAAATTACAAAAACTACTTTATCACCCTGAAAAATTAATTCCATGTAATTTCAGCGCGCAAATAGCGGAATTAAAAGCAGTCTACTTTGTCCTGAGAAAGTCTGCACACATTATTCTCACTAGGAATGTGTAATGATAACGCAATCGAAAATTGCCTTCCGGAAACTGTTGCAGTTTGTAACATAGTAATAAGATACTACACTGACCATTTATAATAGCAATCGTGGGGTTCCGTCATGGTCGCCGAATAAATCGTGTAAATTTTTCGAATTTTCATCGTATTGCAGAAAAATTCGTTAAACAAAAAAACGTTGCCTAATTTTATCTAATTAATCGACATACTAATTCAGTATACGTACTTAAAATGTAAATATTAATACCGTTATTCTAGTTTTTGAGCTTTCGATAAATCAGTAATTAAGTAGAACATGAATTCTGTATAATAGATTTATCTTAATGATATTTATTGCACACGAAATCGAAAGTACCAATAATAACATTATTTTATTCACAGTTCTTTATGAGTTTAATATTTATGTCGCGATACAGAAAAATAAGTAGCATTTTGTCACATTTATCTATTTTGATTGATAAATAATTATGTTTTTATTATTTCTTATATCACTTTTAAAATTATTTTCAATTCTGAAATTATAAGTTTCACTATTTCAAACAAGTAGTTTGTGTCTCTGCACAGCTACAATCATTTTTTTACAAAATTAAAAAATTCTGTTGTACAATTGCACTTTAAGAATTATTTTATAATTTTCCATTTACACTTTTCCCAATAATTCTTATTAAATTTAAATTAAATTTCACGGTAATGTAGCAAGTTGTATTACCTAATAAATTTCTTGGTGTTGCATTGCATATGCATATGTGTCTTTTCTGCATTTTTCTTGCAACATGAACTATTATTTGATTTACCGTCAGACGGTAAAAAAAAGAAAAATGTAACCCGTATTTAAACTAGAACCAGATGACCTGTATATCTAGCAGCCTCTTTTCAATTTTATTACCTCTCGATTATGCGAAGAAATTTCACCACACCCTGTATAAGGGGCGGTCACACGCCGCCACTAATTCCGCTCAAGCTTTCTTGCCGGCTGGAATATAGGTCACAGTCCACTGGACGATCAAGTGTGTGGCAATACTGCGTATCGATTATGTGGTAATACAGGAATTTTAAGAGTTAAAACGAGTTCGTCGAAGTAACCACGTGCTCTATCACTGTCTCCTTGTTCATCAGCAGTTTCGATGGTGTGCACCAAACCGCGAAACACTTGTTTCCAATCTTTTCTCTCGCCGCTTTTATGCAATTAAAACTAGCAAATTCGACGTAAAAAAAATTTCGTTGGAAATGAAAAAATAGATAATTAAAAATATTATCAGTATTTTTTGTTTAAACAATGACAAATATCGTGTACTTTTTATTTTATAGCAGGAAGCTTTCGGTAACTCTGCTGATTTAAATATTACAGAAATCTGTACTGCGTAACTAATCAATAGACTGCGGATTTTTATGCAAATTCATATTTTCGTGAACATAATTGAAAAAAAATAGAAGCTAGATAGGCAACTGTTTTATTCACTAAATATCATAACGTGTACTATATTTTGTGATTATTCGTATATTTTTGTTTATTATGTGCATTCTGTGTATTTTTGTATCTCCAAATTTTCCACAAATGCATAAAAATCCGCAGTCTACTAATCAGTTTTAACATACATCGTACCATTCGATAGAAATAATAACAAAAAGCCATCTCGTTGATAATTCAGTGATGCGACACAAAGCAAATAATTCGACTCTCAATTTCACAATCATGTTCGTACCATACGAAAGAATCCATTTCTCTTCACCTAACAATCGAAACTTTAACAAATAATCAACCTAACAACAATCGAATAACCGTAACTCCCTTAACAGATAACTCAGGTTCTATAAGATAGGTCCATTTGGTAAATGAAATTCAATCAAACGAGTCCACGATCCTCATTACCTTCACCTGCATCACCAGGACCATTAAGATCATTTCTTTTTCCTCGTTTCACCTGTCGTTTGTAAAACAACACACAACCGCACCGTCGATTCACGACCAGCCGATTTCTCGGCAAGAATTCCCTCGATCACGATCCAGCGATCGTAACGTTGTCCCTTTTCCGCCGCGAGAGCCACTGCTTCTTAACCAAATCCGCGCCTTTCTCTCCGATCATGATCACAGGTGCGTTGATATTCCCGTTGGTGATCGTAGGCATAATGGACGCATCGATCACTCTCAGGCCAGAAACGCCGTAGACTCTTAGCTCGGGATCCACCACGGCCGTAGGATCGCTGGGTGGACCCATTTTGGCTGTGCAGCTCATGTGATAGATGGTCATAGTGTACTGTCTAATGGCGCAGTTCCAGTACTCGTCGGTGAACATTGGTATGTGCTTACAGTTGGGCAAAGGTTTGCTATGAAACCTGGCACCGAACCTCTTCATGCTGCTGGTCTCTCCGAACGCTATCGCGGCTTTTACACCCTCTCTGAGAACGTCCACGTCGTGCTGTTCGGTTAAGTAATTGTGGTACATCAGAGGATAGTCCAAAGGATTGTTCGATTTCAGTTTAATGAAACCGCGACTCTTTGGTCTCAGCATCATAGGGAACACTCCGAACACGTCACGGTTGTTGATCGTTTCGAACACTTCGTTGTAGAAGCTGTCGCTGAGTCCGTGAGCGTTTTTCACGTGGGTCCCACCGTCGGAACTGGTCGCCGAAGACGTCAGCATGAACTCTATGTCGGGCCAGTCTTCGCTCTGATTCGCGTATTTCGTGAAGATGAAGCCTGCCGCCTCTAGACCGATGTTAGAAGTGAGTGGGCCGTCTTCCGTGACGGCGTATCGTAGAGCGGAATTGACGTTCACCACACGGTTCATCACCGTGCTGACCGGGTAATCGATGAGGAAAGCTAGGCCTCCTACTGCTATGTGATCCTGGAGGTTCTGTCCGACGCCGGGAGAATCGTGGACCACCGGGATTCCCACTTCCTCTAAGTGCTGTCTTGGTCCTATTCCAGAGAGCATCAGAAGCTGGGGGGAATTTATGGCACCTGCTGAAAGGATCACTTCCTTTCTGGCGTAGACCACCTCTTTGTGGCCCTCTCTGATGAATTCAACGCCGTAGGCTCGGTTCGTTCGCGGGTTTATGAGTACCTTGGTCACGTGGCTCCAGAGAGACAGGTGGAAGTTCTTTCGTAGTTGAATGGGTCTGACGAAGGCCTTGGCTGCGCTGCATCTCGTCCCTCTGCGCATTGTGTACTGATAAAAGGCGAAGCCTGTTTGTTGCTCGCCGTTTATGTCTACTATGTCGTAGCCCATCTCCTCGCCGGCTTGTAGAAAGGCGACACCCAGGGGTGTGTTGTAGGGCGAATCTTGGATCGTCAGGTATCCTCCTTGAAAGAGAAATGATTTTGATAATGTAACGTTCTATTTCTTTGGGGTTTTAATCTCTTAACGCTCTTGTCCCTGTCTCATAGGTACATAAATAATCGTCCAATAAATGCAATTTTTTTTTAATTATTTTCTTTCACCTTTTATATTGCGTTATCCTTTCCATTATGGCAAAAACGTAAGTTAGAGAATTATAAATGATGGGAAAATTATTTCTACACGCCTAGGAAATAATTTTCAAAAGAAACCGAAATTGTTCATTTTTGGAACATCAGGTTTAGATAAATGTGAACATTAAGGGGTCAATAGTATGTATTTATAACGATTAAGAATTGAATATTTTTTTATGTTACCATGGCAAGTGACATCGTATTTTTGTGTACCTTTTTTTTTTTTTTACAAATTTATTCTTTTAGGATAAGTTACATAGAATTTTCTTATCGTTAGGGAGATAAAACTTTTCTTGTTTCTTTTTATCCACGAGTCAGATTGAATTTTTTATTTTCGCATGAAAGAATGCTTTTCACAGATTTTGTACCGTTGTTGTCAGCTCTCATTGCTCTTTAGCGTGTGGCAATCACTTCAAGTTTTCCAGAAACCTCGTATACGAAGATTGCCAAAAGATAATCGTACGTGAAATCTTAATTGCGTTTCGGCGGAACGGCAACTGGCATAATCATTTTTTCATGTGATTTATTGTGAACCACCCGTGTGTTCATGCTTAGTCCAGTTGAGATACTACAACTCGACCCCCTTTTTCTGATAAAGTTATATAAAAACTATAGATAAAACCACGATCAACTTTTACATTAAACCGATTTTTTACTGCGACGCTTTCGAACTCACGATTAGAACCCACATTCTTTTTTCTGTTTTGCAACTTTGTTTTCAGTCTTAAGTATGTTTTCATCTACATTACCTTACGTCTAATGTTACGGTCTAATAATGTTTCCTTATTCAATCTGTTGTGATATTAGAATGTTGTTTTAAAATGGATCTATTTATTGTTCTGTACTAACCTAACCTAAATTTCATTACGTAGCTTCTGTTTCCTTTCATTGATCAAGGTTTTTCGCATAATTAGCCGATTTAAATTACCTTACGCGTTCGAAACTAGAATTCTGAGAGTGTACCTTAAGGTAATTGCGTAAAGTTCTTTGACGTAACGTTAACGTAACATAACAACATTGCCATAAACTTGAAAAAATAGAAATAAATGTAGAAGTATTGTCCAGCGTGCTATAGATTTTCTGGTGTCGCATTGACACGTTCGCTGCCACCGACGCAGCACGTGCGTTCCAAAGTGTATTCCCCAGCGTGCTATTCATTTTCTGACGGCAGCGAACGTGTTAATACACCATCAGAAAATCGAGAGCACGCTGAGTAATACATTTTCTGGAACGCATGTGCTGCGTCGATGGCAACGAAAGTGTTAATGTACTTAAGCTATTCTTATTCTTAGCGATAAGATATTCTTATTAGGTAGCAGTGGAGCTTTGCTGCGAATTGCGTGTAAATGAAATTAGTATCGCGATCGGTGTTTCGATGCCTTCAACTATACACTTAGCCATAGTAGCGAATTTCTTTTTTTAAATTTTTAACGTCTTGTGAGAAAATAAGTGCGAATCGAGTCATATGAAGACATTTCCACATCACACAGAGAATGTACATCAATGTGTAAGTTTTCAACGCGAGGAAACAAGCGAACCATTTTCGGTAAAAAAACGCCACTCAGAGGGAAGCCACTATAACGACGTTTTGTCTGAAAAAATGATTTAACTAAAGGTAACTAAAGGGTTAAGAATCGTCGAAGGCAATTAGCTCGCAATAACAGTGTACCTCTAGTACCTCTAGAGTGATAACTAATTCGTTAAAAATTGCTAACTTTTATCTGAAAATTTTTGTACAACTTGCAATGCACAGTATCCTAAATTTTTGACCTGTAGTGTATTTGTTGTACGTGTTAGATATTTGTACATAAGTATATATTTTCACATAAAGTTGTATATTTTCATAGAAATAGAAATATATCTAAAATGATGAATGATATCTTACCAGTGGCATGGTATTTAGTGTTACGAGCTAAGTAGGGGTTCCTTTGGTCTTGTGATTTTTTAAAATAAGGAAGAACATCGTCGTAACCCCAACCAGGGTTCCCGAAGCTTTCCCATTGATCGAAGTCTCGTCGATTTCCTCGAATATAAAGCATCGTGTTGAGTACACTCGAACCTCCCAAGACCTGAAATTTTATAAAGAGCATTAGGAAAAAGGTATTTCAATTATATTAAGAAATTTTACTTGAAATATTCTTCGCTAATATTAACGGGTCACAAATAGTAAATTGATTGTAAAACGTCTTTAAGAGGAAGTGATCCAAGTTACTTATAGACAGGTGTAAGAAAAATAATCACAGGTAATCGGTTCAATTTTCACCCTTTCGCGACTAGCGCCGGTTATATCCGGCATCCACTAAATGCTTCACACTGGCTAACGCCGGTTATATCCGGCATCCAGTAAATGCTTCACACTGGCTAGCGCCGGTTATATCCGGCATCCACTAAGCGCGTCGCATTGGCTCGCGCCTCAACAACTCGAAGTGAAGATTTATTTTAAAATGCAGAACAAGGCCTCAACAACGTTCCCTTTATTCGATACACCCTTAAGTCCTTTGCTGTTCCAACGAAATCCTCTAAGATTTGAAAAAACGCGAGACACTGTTAACGTGTATGGTGTGCACTAATAGCACGACGACCCGTTCGTTAGTGGCGTACTGATGGCTAGTTTCGCCGTCGCGAAAGAGTTAAAAAACTATTCTTTCAGCAATATCGAAAATGAAATTTCCCTTTCCTGGTAATATTTCTTTATAACGCACGTAATGCACTTGCTTTCTGTTTTTTTTTTTTTCTTCTGTATAATACATTTTTAGTTTTTTCGAAAACGAGATACCAGTTGATTTGGAAACGAATACTTTTACTTTCACTTAGCATCAGTGGACCCGTGATGCATTCGATTGTGTAAGACAATTCTCTGTTATAATGGAGGCGTTAAGAGTATCCCATCTCTGTCGTTTTATGAAAAATAATTAATTTATTAGCAAAACGACCTTTACTTTTCTCTCAGTTTAAAGAAAGAAAAATTGTAATTTACAACAGTACTCAGATATCGTAATTGAAAATATTTCAAATTATCACGGGTTGTACTATATCATAGTAATTTATAAAATAATTTATTTTTCGTTTTTGTCTATGGCATAAATAAATTAGTGAAAAGTTGGCAAAGGTGTATGAACTGTAACGGTTCTTATTTTGAATATGTTCACTTTTCAAACAGAACTTTCCTAACGACCTAATAATAATGCGTTTCAGCTTATCTGGCTAAGTGCTGTTACTTTTGGAGTACAAAGGTTCGCAAGCTTACGTTACTTTGTAAAACAACGAAATCAACGTTGCATGGTGAAATGTCTCTTAAT